GTTAAAGGATGAGCCGTTGAGGTAGCCGAATTCTTCATCTCCAACATCGTACTGCGGCACGGGGCTTCAAAAGCGTTGATCACAGACCGAGGAACTGCATTTACGACCGACCTGATGAAATCTATTATGAAATTGACACACACCAGTCATAGGAAAAACGACGGCATATCATCCTCAAGCGAATGGTCTTACGGAATGACTGAACAAAACGCTGGCTAATATGTTGTCAATGTACGTTGATATAGAACACCGTACTTGGGATAAAATATTACCCTATGCAACATTCGCCTATAACCCTGCGATGCAAAAAGACAACACGGATGGCGCCATTCCAACTTGTTTTTGACCGGACGGTAACGACACCTTTAGATGCAATATTACCTATTGACGAGACGCCCGAGAATTACTATGACGTTCACAACTACATACAAAAAGCAGAAGAAGCCAGACAGCCGGCAAGATATCCCATTCTCCAACAGCAGCAAACCGACACGCATCGATACAATCTGCGAAGAAGGGACGTCCAGTACGCACAAGGAGACGGAGTATGGGTGTGGATTCCTGTACGAATACGTGGCCTGTCAGAAAAACTGCTTTGCCGCTATTTCGGTCCGTACAGAGTGCTCCAACACGTCGGCTCGCTCAACTACGAAGTTATACCAGAGGGAATGGATATTTCATCCCGACGACGGCATCGCACGTAAAGTGTGCATGTCGTCAGGATGAAACCATATCACGATAGGCAATGAAACGCCGAAGACACAACATTGTTTGACGTTAACGACATTCCCAACGAGGGTTTGTGAATGACTGCTATGCAACCAGTTCGACACAAGCATCGGAACGATGCACTCTGGAAATGGGGGCAATGACACAATGTGACTTCAAATTACACGCGCTAGCCGATAATTGTGCCCTCTGGATGGTTTGCAACGCACGAGCCTGTGGGACTCTGCTGCGCGCGAACCGTGTTGGAAAAAAAGAAGAATGTAGAAGAAGAGGCAGAAGCGAATCCTCAAAACAATCTAGCTGTATTATTATTCTCGGGCACAAGTTCGCCCTGCCTACGTTAGCCTATAAAAAGAGTTCAATAAAGAGCGCGTTACAATATATTGATTATTCAGCAAACGGCTCAAAAGAAGTAGGCATGCGCATATGGTTCCGGTCGAGTTCTTACCGTGATGAGAGACAAAATCGTAGCCATGACATAAGCTACACAGGATGAGTGTTCCATTTGGTGCAAAATCAGCGAATATTGCTTCACGGTGCATGTTCTATGCCACATCTTAGCTTTTCAGCGATGCTGGATTGCAGTAAATTGACAAAAGAAGGTTTTCTCTGTTCAACTCACCTCGTGTTATCCGGGACCGTGAAGTGCACCTATGAAATATTTCACTGGAACGCTTTCTTGTACCAGATGTGGACACCTTTGTGACTAATAATCGAGTCTTTGAATACTTGATAATAGTATTCACCTCATACCTCTACATAAATAATAACATGCCGAAGTAATCCCCCTTAGCTCAGTGGCTAATGCCCCACAGTCACCATTCAAAGGTCCCACGTTTGATTCCGGGCGCTGGAGTATTTTTCTGGATATTTTTTCTCTTGTGTGTTCATATATATATATATACGTATTCATATACGGTAAGTGGCACCAACTTTGACACCGGCGGCGAAAACTAGTCGAGAATGTTTATGTAATTGCTATCACAATATTAGGCTAGGAACATTGCTTTCGCCTTTAATTTGTCTTCGAATCCTTGTGAGCTTTTGTTTTCACGAGAAAATCAAGACAAGTTATGACTTACACTGATTGCGCCCTTTGAACGATGAAAAATAAAAACATCTATTGTGGTGGCAAATCTATACTTCTCATTCAAGCACATGCTGCTCTGACAGTTTCGCGTACTCAAAGATGCCGTTTTCATCTTTTTATGAAGCCCTCTGGTCGAAATCAGCGGCCACATACTGTTGTATAGTTCGAAGTTGTGTTTGGTGACCAATCGTCCCGCCTGATAGCAGCAAGCTCCCTATGCCATACACCAGTAGCAGCTAATACTTCAAGAAAAAAAAGCCCGTAAGTGTTGGTCTTTTCGCTCTCTTTGCATAGCGTTATGCAAGAATACGACATGCTGGTGCAGTCAGAGCGCGTGGTTGCTAAAGGCTAAAATATAAATAAACACGAACACTACAAAGTTTAAGTGCATTTTTTGCACCTGAAATTGCGAGATAGACGGCATTCGGGACACGTACTTGTTAAACCTTCAAGAAGCACCTAAGTTCTGATGTTAACAGCAGCTGAGCAATACCTGAGGCCGTTCAGCGCCAGATTCCCGTGGTGTACTTGCACCGCGCCGCAAAGGGTCTACGGGATGCAGCAGCGGTGAGAGCGCTCGACGGCTTGAAGACAGAGTTCACCCGGCCACTGAAAAAAATAAAGGAGGCGCTAACACGAGCCGCCTTGACACTTCGCGCCAACCTTTTCGCTTCATTCATGCCCTACGAACGATCGCTCACGTACAGCGACGATCCAGAGGTTTGAGAGAGGCAATCGTTCCCCGCACAGCAGGGCACAGTCAGCGAAGCAGAATGATGGAGAGTAGCGGCACAGCGCCATCTAGAATATCCTCACTCAATCGCAGTTTATATGTATTTCTAAGAAACAATGCCATCTATTACATTGTTAGGGAGATGCTGCCGGTTACGCCAGATGCGGGACAAAGCTAGTCAGCTCTCCATATTCAAAAACGCTCCTCGACTCGACTCTTCACTCAAAAAGCTCCTTAACGGCCGATGTTCTTCAACAAGCCGCCCCTACTCGAAACGCACGCTGACTTTAAAAACACCGAGTATTTTCCTCGACATTTTCAAGGAAGGAAGGTGGCTACCTTAAAACGTACCTTAAGTGAAATTTCTGCTTCAACACGGCGTCCATGGTGAATCACATCTCGCTTTCGCGGCGTTTCTCAATAAATTAAACTGCCACCTTCACGTTCTTCCGACAGGGATGGTGCGCGTTTACAACAGGGCCGTTTTCGAACGATACGGCAACAGCTACTGTGGCGACGACACATGTGGGCATGATGTCAAGAGGACCACTAGCTAGTACCATGGTGTCTTGTGTTCTATACTTGCGCCAGTGCATTACCTGTGTTCGGCTATACGTATAGTCGTCGTTCAAGCGCTTGAAGTCTTACAACGGGCGGCCATGCTTTCAAGCGATTCACTTATATCACTGATAGCTTGGCACGATCGCAAGATTCACAAACAAGTGAAAAGAAAACGTAATACTAAACTTTTGATGCGTTGCACTCACCGTACTACTGAGTGGCTTCCTCTCCAGTAAATCTTTGTTACTCTAACAGGAAGAATTGGCAGATCCCACGTACAGCGCAAATCGATGACATGCGAAGCACGAATGAGGACAGCATATGTCTTTTGAAATGAGCACAACGTTACAAGGTGGTTGCAAGTTATGCCGTTTTCAACGTGCATGTCATGATTACCATGTTTGGATGTGTCGGTTACCCTCGTCTGGTGTTATCGTCATGTGGTACCGAATTGAAGCTAGCGAAACGGCCACGAGCATTCTATTAGCGTAGCATGTAGTCAAGTTTTACATGACACGGATATAATGAATATAATGTTTAGACGTGTGATTTACCTTCATCGACCATGCAGGTCATCTGATACCAAGTTTGGCATAGGTGGAACAAGTGAAACGGCCGCGAGTACGCTTTGAGTGTAGAGAAAAACATGTTTCACATGACACGCATACCAAAATTATCATGTTTGACGTGTCAATTGCCTTCCTCCTCCACTCACGTCAAGTAATACAAAGTATCCTATAAGTGGAGCAAACGAAACGGCCACATGCACGCTATGAACTTAGCATGTAATCATGTTTCACATGACACGCATACTATGACTACCATGTTTCGACGTTTCCTTTACCTTCGTCGTCTATTCACGCCACGTGATACTAAATTGGGTATATGTAGAGCTACGGAAACGGCTGCGAGCGTGCTATGTCCGTAACACGCACTCATGTTTTCACATGACATGCATCGCGTGATTATCATGTTTGCACCAATCATATAGTTTCGTCATGAACGGGGCGTGTAGCCATAATTAGTTATAAAATGATAATCATGACATGCATGTCGTGAGTTGCACAAGAGGGTCTCCCGCTTATGTTCGCCATGCAGTCGTGTAATACTATGCCAGTTTTGCAAAATGTCGTGGGAATGAAACTACCGGAACAGTAGTAAAACTAAGTAATGTATATCATGATATTCATGAAACATTTCTCATGATTTTCTTGTTAACACTAGTCATTTATGCTTATCTCACAGTCATGTTATGCGATACCAATTTCGGTATTGATGGCATAAATGAGACAGCTAAGAAAGCTCAAAGTCGTAGGCGGCTAGATACATAAATATATAGATAGATAGATAGATAGATAGATAGATAGATAGATAGATAGATAGATAGATAGATAGATAGATAGCTGGATAGATAGATAGATAGATAGATAGATAGATAGATAGATAGATAGATAAAATGCTCAAAGTAACCGAACTTCGCTAAGAAAAGCTTCGCAATTAATATGTGGCGAAACGTACCTCCGTTGGATGATCTTCTGTATCAATCACGAGCAGTCCAGGCAGCATTGAGGCTGAACGACAGCTAAAAATTTACCTTGCTTTACGCAGAACGCTGGTGGTGGAAGCAGACAAGGTGTCTTCGGAAGCGATCAGCGCTACTAGGAATCAAGTGGGCGGAACCGGGAACAACGCCCCCTGAAATACCGTGACGTCACAGCTCTGCTATAAAACCACCGCTCCAGCGAGGATCAGCCGTCATTTCACGAGCAGTCCAGGCAGCAACGAGGCTGAACGACAGCTAAAAATTTACCTTGCTTAACGCCGGTACGTGAACGACTTGTACTTTGGCTTCTTAGTTCCTGGACTGCTCAGTGAATGACGGGTGTTATGGGTGATAAGCTGCCCACTACTGTGAAGGAACTAGCTAAGGCCTTGTCAGATTTTTCTGCTAGAATTGATGCCAAACATGATGAGCTAAAGAAAGATATCACGAAGGTTATTGAAGGCGAACTACAAACTCTTCGACAGTCAATCAACTTCATGAATGAGCACTTTGAGCAATTCAGGGTGAAACTTGGCGAAACAAAAAAAGAGCTTGCTGCGGTGCTAGCAGAAAACCACGCGAATGAAAGCGAAAACAGTCGCCTCGCCAAGGATATTAAGGAAACAAAAGAGGAACTCACTGCTCAGCAACAATACAGTAGACAGAATAACCTAGAAATAAAGGGAGTTCCTGTGATGGAGGGAGAAAACTTGGTCTCTACAATGCAACAGCTTGCCAGCTACCTGAAAGTTGAAGTCAAAGAAACAGATATAGACGTCGTGCACCGAGTGCCATCAAGGAACGCGTCAACACCTAACATCATAGTTAGGTTTCTTTCGAGAGCTGTGAAAGATAATGTTCTGAGGACTGCTATGAAGCAACGACTTAACACGACAGCTTTAGGTTTTCAGGGCATCGCATCTCCAGTATACATAAATGAGCACTTGTGTCCGGCAAACAAGGAATTGCTAACAGCCGCTCTAAAGACAAAGCGGGAAAAAAACTGGAAGTACACCTGGGTAACTGGTGGAAAGATTTTGATGCGGAAGACAGATAATTCACGTGTGCTTCACGTCACATGTGCTGAGGATCTTTCCAAAGTCGTTTGAGGATTGCCTGCTTGTTTCTGTAAACCTGGAGTATCCTATATTTTTAAATGGCGTTTTCTTTTTCTGAGGTTGAAAACGTATGGCTGCAGCAGGATCATTTCGCAGTATTACATTGTAATATTCGCAGCATAAAGAAGAATTTCGATCATCTGCTTTCGTACTTATCACAGCACTCCTTTAAACATGATGTCATCGCTATAACGAAAACTTGGCTTCGACAAAGCGAATCAGTTCATCTACCCTGCTACATCATGCTTTCGCAACCTAGAAACAGTGCTACACGAGGAGGGGGCGTGGCGCTATTTATCAAAGACTGTTTTAGTTTCGTTCACCTTAGCAATAGCTCATGCTGCAGTTCATTAGCAGAGACTCTTTTTATTCATCTTCAAAATGGTGTTATCATTGGTGTAATATATCGTCCACCAAATTCCAGTGTGGCTGACTTCATTACTGTGATGGAAAGTACCATGATACCCATTATGGCCTCTAAAGCACCTTTTATTGTCTGCGGTGATATTAACATAGACGTGTCTGGAGATACAAGTGATGATTACGTGTTTTTGCTACAATCAGTTAATCTGAGAAATGTTATTTCATCACCCACTCGCATAACAGACCACTCGGAGTCGATTATTGATCACGTGTTGTGTAACGCTGACCTGGATGTATCGGCAGGCGTATACGCTGTTGCTATTGCGGATCACAATCCCACCTTTCTATTTTTACCCCAGAAACACATTTGTGCTCCTGACGTACCTGCCATTAAACATACAACACGTGTCGACTATAATTCCGTGCAAAAACTACTACAAGGTACGAATTTTCATGCCCTCCATGATGAAGACGTGGACGTCGAGTGTGATAACATTGTAAAATGCATTGTGGATGTCATTGAACGATCAACGCGTAGCTGTTCGCGCCGAAATTATGACCATGCAATATGTCCATGGATGAATAAAAATATACTTAAGGTTTTGAAGCTGCAAAAATTTTTACTACGACAAATGGAAAAATAACAGGTGCAATGAATACTACCATCAAAATTTTTAGCTTTACAGAAATAAGTCAGCAGCAATGATAAGAAAATGGAAGAAGTGCTACTATACCAACCTAGTGAAAGAAAATGATGGTAACACGAAGAAGATATGGCAGATTGTTAAAGACGTCACTGGCATGGGTAGCAAAGAACGCATTATACCTGATAATCCAACTCGTGAAGTAGCCGACAACTTTAACGATTACTTTACTAATATTGGTCTCAGCCTTGCGAGGAAGTTCCCTGCTCATATGCCGAATTTAAATGCACCTTGTACGGTTACCAATAATTTCGATCTATGTGATGTAACTGAGGATGACATCCGACAAGTAATTAATAAGTTACCAGGGAACAAGGCAGCTGGCCATGACGCCATATCATCAAGGATTTTAAAGGAGAATATTGATGTTTTGTGTGGTCCCTTATGCCATATATTTAATCAAGCACTTTCCTCTAAAACATATCCTATTATACTTAAGACCGCCAAAGTAATACCAGTGTACAAATCTGGTGATCGGAATCTTCCGGACAGCTACAGACCAATATCTGTTCTGAGTAGTATCAACACTACCCTATCGGAAAAATTGCCATGGTGGATACTGGAAAACATGGTGGGCGTAGTGGAAATAATAGTGGGCATGGTGGAAATTATGATGGATATGGTGGGACGTAGTGGAAAATATGGTGGATATGCCAGGACATACTGGGCGGTATGGTGTACAGATGATGGGTAAAGTGGAAATGATGGTGGAAAGCAGAGGCTAGATAGTGGGCAATAATGGGACACTCTGCCCACTATTGCGATAATGCTGGGAAGCCCTAAGCATATGGTGGGTGGTGCTTATTATGGTGGGCTACATGGTGTACCAAGCTGAGAAACTCTTTCCACCATTGCGATAATGCTGGGAAGCACTAAGCAGATGATGGGTGCTGCTTTTTATGGTGGGCAACATAGTGTACCAAGCTGAGAAGCTCTGCCCACCATCGCGATAATGCTGGGATGCAGTAAGCAGATGATGGGTGGGCTTATAATGGCGGGCAATTTATATAGTGTACCAAGCTGGGATCTGTACACTACATGTTCTACCACCATGATTTCCACCAAATGTTAGGCCTACCGACCGAGTCCGTACAATTGTGTTATCCGTGCTTCCGGGTTTCAGAATACACGATTTCGACGATTAAGTATGACAATACAGCGCAGACATGGCATCAAATAACCTAAATGAAGCATTTTTCATTGTGTATGGTGTCCGCTCAAGAAGCAACAAACATCGATGCGACGCGATGGAAGCACTCCCAGAGAACGTAAGAGTCTTCTCACCGACAGCCACCGGTCGCACTCGCCGGCAATTCTCTAGGTTTTGTACGGGAACTCAGAAGTGGCAATTCGTATGCTTGGTGAACCAATATGATAGCGTAAGGTTTCCGGCACACTGAATTCGTTTTGGCCAAGCTGTTAGGTAGTTGTTGCATTAGCGAAAGAGCTACAGCATTGCGCTGGCACGACCGCCCTCTACATTGCGCGAAAAGCATCCCAATACTCAATCAAATAAATTAGGCGGGCGTATCTATGGAACGAGCCTAGAAGCGTCATAAAGCGTGAGCAAATGTCGCCCTTTAGAACGAGCGTGAAACGGATATTAAACTTGGCAGACCCCCCCCCCCCGGTAGATTGTTGCTGCTCCCCAGTCCACTTGGTTTTTTTTTCTTGAAGTTGCGAATTGTAAAAAAATAGCACTAGTGCCATTAACACAGTGGCAATCGTTACAAGCCACAGTTGCTTGTGTTGAATAAATGTGCAATTTTTAGTAGCACGTGTAGATCTTGCCTATGTGGTGTACACGACAAACATAAGTTGAACCGTACGTTTGTATGTCAACTAAGTATTCAACACACCATAAAACGTCATGTTGGTGTGGCGTAGTGGTTAGTGTCTTCGAATCGGAATCCGCAGGTTGCACGTTCAATCCCCCGTGGCGCCTTGTTTTTCTTTTTAACGGGACGGGTGTTTTTTATACCGTTTTTAAAGAATTCTTTTTTATTTTTTTTGTGGCAGCTCGTCACGGTGATTCTGACGTCATTTCACGCTCAAGCGTTGACGGCACTGCAGCACCCACCATACCCACCATGCGCCATGGTGGGCGTTTGCCACCATTCACCCACTACATTAATCCACTATAATGGTGGGTGGTGGTTTCCACCATGCCCACCATTCGTTTTTTTCCGATAGGGTACGCTTGAAAAACTAATTTCGTCGCAATTAAGGCGCTTCCTGGGAGAGCAGAATGTACTTTGTCCCCAGCAACACGGCTTTGTTGCAAACAGGTCCACTTCAACTGCTGTTTCGATGCTTAAGCAATATAATAATTCCGCGCTACATGAAAACAACGTAGCAATAGCAGTATTTTTAGACATACGAAAGGCATTTGCTGCTATTAGTCATTCCATTTTACTGGAAAAAATTCATTCCTATGGGATAAAAAGTAACTCGCTTGATTTTTTTTCTAGTTATTTATCGGCACGCAAACAAAAGGTAGTCATTGGTGACATCAAGTCATCTTACGGTTATAATAAATGCGGGGTGCCACAGGGTTCAGTTTTGGGCCCTATATTGTTCTCTCTTTATATTAATGATGTCCCGCGATCCCTACAGAGGTCAAGGGCACTGATGTACGCGGACGACACTGTTTTAGTTTCACAGGACACTCCTTAGCAGATTTCTGATGTACGCGGACGACACTGTTTTAGTTTTCACAAGACACTCCTTAGCAGATTTACAAAATGACGCGATGACCGATTTATCGAATATTTCGGAATGGTTTGCCAGGAATCAGCTGACTGTTAACTGTACTAAAACAAAGTACATGGTGTTTCACTCTCGTAGGAAACATATTGACGTTGAATCTCTTAACCTAACAATAAACAACGCTCCTATTCAACAAGTTCCTTGTTTTAAATATTTAGGCGTCACTTTTGATGAACATTTATACTGGCATGAGCAAGTACAGAGTGTGTGCGCAAAGGTAGCCTACGGCTGCTATTCTCTAATAAAAGCTCGCCAATATTTTTCACAAGCTATACTTCGTACACTCTACTTTTCATTGTGTCATTGTCACATAGGTTACTGTCTGGAATCGTGGGGTGTGACGTACAACAGTTGTCTAAAAACTCTTGAACGACTTCAAAAGCGTACACTGAAAATCATAAGCCAAGGTGAATCAGTAAGTAATATTTTCCAATCACAACGCATTCTCTCGGTTCTGATGTTGCGTGACTACAAAATTGCCGTTTTAGTAAATAACATAATTAATAGAAATTCACCTTTGCCTGCTGATCTTTTTTAAATTCCTAACCCAATACGCGACATGCTTCGAATGGTAATTTCAATCCGCCCAAATGTTTTAATGTTTACGGAGAAAGACTGATACAGTTTAATGGAACAAAAATATGGAACACGGTTCCCTTAGAGATTAAAACGGCACGTAAGTTCAGCATGGCATGTAAATAATTTTTTCTGTGGAGTCAAGACATGTAAGCATGTGTGTGTTTGATTCGATTTTCATTGTATTTTTTTAATAAGTGCCTATCTATAGAAACTAGCTGCAAGCTAATAAGTATGCATATCTGCAGGAAAAAATGTATTACTGTGTTATCTGTATTATATGATTGTTTTTCTGTTTTTTTTATGTTGTTACCTCAGAGTTGACCTGTACACTTTTTTATGTTGCACATTGTATTGGACCGTCCACTAGCCACTTTAGGCTATCGGTCCAAATAATCCCTGTAATTACATATATCTATTCATGAAAATAAAGTTTTATTTATTGATTGATTGATTGATTGAACGAGAAGGTAAGTTCACTTGTGTTTTCTTCAAGTTTTTTCTGTGCTTCAATTAGGTAACTATTCGATACAGTTTAGGGAAAACAAAAGATAGTGTATTTGGGCCCAATAGCTGTGC